GGGGAAGTTTTCTATGTAATACATATAGTGAAGTAAAAAGTGTAATTCCTCTCTTAAAAAAACATAGTCCTTTGACCAATGTATTTCGTCATTTCACCATTTTACAAGAATATGTACTGTATTTGTTAGTAAGAAAAAAAAACAAGCAATAATGAAATGAAATGCGTTTATCAATCTATAATGAAATGAAATGCGTTTATCAATCTATATAAATCTATATCTAAATTTTACGACCGCTTTTGTTTAAGACGATGGTGCTAATATTTTCAGGCACTGTGATTTCAATAATCTCACCATGAATTATGCCCGGCTCACTCTTAATAGTAGACACTGTAGATGTACTTTGGGGAGAGGGGATAACACTCGTGGGGAAAGGGGTGGAATTTCGGAACGGTGACTGGGCTGCTGTTGCAACGCTTAGGAAATGTTATGCTTTAAGGCTTCAGAGGGACGTTTGTAATTTTTTTTTCAGTTCATGAATGAGATAAAAAAGCCAGTGCAGGGTGTATATAAAGCATACAGTAAATAAACTAATCTATCCGTCAAGTAAAATATTTTCAATTTCAGCCAGACAACCAACAAATATCCTGCTCCCTAGGGTTGTTTAAGCAATAAGAAAAACTTAATGAAAATTACCTGCCCATTTCTCCAACGAGCCACTTTCTTGATAAGCAGCCATCGCCCATTATTTCTGTCGGTAAGCGCTTATAATTCAAGCGCTGTGTAATATGGTGTTACGTCATTAAATCGTTTAAATGAGGAATCAACAGGAATCACAAAAATCCTGAGTTGATTTACGCTCAATTGAAATTGTAATGTATCACATTCAGAAATGTTAAATTCTTCCCAATTTTCTTCTGATAGAATTTATTTAGGAATGTGAAATATATTATTCATAAGATTGCGTATTCAGTAACTTATGAAAAAACACGAACTATGCCATTTTCTCGTGCAATTGTTTTCCTACAATAAGGCCAAATAGATTGAATAACATATATTTGGATATCCCTATGAAATTGTCGAAGAAAAAGGTTGTTTTCGCATATTTAATCTTCACCTTAAACAAAGAAAACTATCTGTGGTCTAAGTCAGATAGATCGCTCGTACCAGTTGGATGTGAGATTTATCAACTCGCTTCGCTCGTTGATAAATCTCACATCCAACTGGTACTCATGATCTATCCTATACTTATCATATTTTTGACACAAATATCCTATATTTCGGGCATATTATGGCATGTCCGGGACATTATGACATGTCCAGGACATTATGGCATGTAATATGCATGCTCCTCTAAACTTAGATGAATACTCTTCAGAAAGGAGGTTCTGCATTAGTTTATAATCTAATACCTGAATATTAACAGAATTTTTGTGATTTTTTTTTTTTTTGTACACCCATAAGATCTGACATCTGATGTGATGGAAATTATTCAGGGACGTCCGGGACATTATGGCATAAATACATGTTTTTTGTTTGTTTGTTTTAATCAATAATCAGCAGAAGAGGGAAGTTGATAATTGTGTAAAACCTTGTTTGGGCTCAGATATGATCTGAACTTTTATCAAAAGTTTTCATCAAACCTGTGGTATTATGTCAATTCAGTGGTGTTAATTACATCCCTTAATTATTAGGTGCGTTAATGGTGAAATTAATGTTGTATAGCTCCTTTGAGGTACTGTGGACATTGTATATTAAGGTAGTTTAAGTTGGTCTAAATGGCGTTTTTGAAACAAGATAGGATTATGGGATGTGAAAGGTAAAATTTTCAGGTTTGTTTTTTATCCAAAAGTAATTTTGGTCACGCATTCATTTATCTTGTCATCATTCTATTGCGAAGCAGTCAAGTCATATATGATTTTGAATAAGACACGTTGTTGACTGCGGAATAATTAATAGCTTTACTTTGCAAGTCGTCAATAAAAATACAAGTACATAAAAAACATTCACATACATCAGCTTTACACTTCAGGACCTATTTTAAATTTCTTACTTAAATTGTTGCAAAATCTTTTTTACTATAGACAGACCATGTTTTATTACATGCTTTTCGGTGGTTTATAGAAATATATCAGTGATATAAAACTGGTAATTTCACTGTTTGAAACAGTGAAATTACCACTTTGATAATTTCACTGTTTTGAATTTAAGCCCCTTACGTTGTTTCAGTGAAATACCAGCGTGCACAGTACTGGGTACCAACTTAATGACGTGACGTCGTAAATGACGTCACGTTGTATTATTATTTAGCGCGCTTTTCATTCAGTATTAGGTTTAATGTCTTTTTAAAACGTTTCTGTGCATGTAATAAAAAGAAAATTTGTTTAGTTTAGTGTAAGATCGAAATATATTTCACCTTGTGAACACCAAAAGTTCATATTTCACTCGTGGCTGCGCCACTCGTGAAATATACCTTTTGGTGCTCACTCGGTGAAATATATTCCGATCTTACACTGAACTAAACAAATATCCTCTATTTCTTATCTCCGTATACAAATAATCGACAGTGCGACTGTCTGATTTCATGTTACGAGGGTAGTTTACTGAGACGTAATATCCTGGAACCAGGCTAAAATCAAACAGATGTAAGTAAACATGTTGTCTTAGCATAAAGGGAAACTCTGAGTTTGCATTTGGAAAAACGCATCAGTTGTATTGCATTGTCATGAAACGCCTGAATTTTTCAATCTATCCATTTGTTTACTAATGTTCAAGTTCGTTTTGAAGAAATATCGAAATGTATATATCTTTTATAGTTTTACGTTTTTCTTTTGAGATGATTTAGATAATGCTGTGCAGTGTGCAGTCATAAATAGTTCTGGCTTCAGAAAACTTAAATAGCCGCCTTTTATAAAAGTACAGCGAGTTTGCATGCATGTTTTTTTTTAAGTTTGGTTAGTTTTGGTAATTCCAATAATGCTTATCAAAAGTTTATATATGGTTTTATCGATATATATTGATCATGCGTGATTGTAAATAATCTAATGACAAAGATTTTGAAAAAATAACTTTTCAGAAATACGATATTGGTCGATGTTAGATTTTTTTGGCGGGAAAGCAATTTACAGTACGACTTTACCTTCATACATAGATTTAAAACATGTGAAATATGTGTAATTATTCTAATCCATCTACCCACACAGTTTACTGCTGATATAGATAAAAAATGTCAAGGCTGTAAATGCGGTTAAATGCACAATTAACTGAACCTGACGTACTTATTGTGTATGTTCAGGAATTTTACAATAATTTTGATCTGTTTTTACAGCTGTGTATTATACTTCCTATTGAACCATGAAATTTAAGGTGTGTTTAAGTAAAACAAAATTAAAAATATAGACTTTTAATAAACTTTAATAGAATAAGGAAATTTTAAAAATGAAAATCAATCTTGATATCAATTAGTAATTTAATAGGTACGCGATTATGCATTGCTTAATATTTAAAAGCCGTGATCAGTGTGGCCGCAGGTAATTTGAATAAATTTTGCATTGCTTTTTCAAAGATATAGTATTCATAGTGTAGAAACAATGTGTTACTGTATCATTTACTGCGAGCATTATGCAATTTAATGTGTATATGGGTCATTGTGGGAACAAGTTCCTCGTAGTTCTGATCGCTGTATCATATATTGCGAGCTTATAAAATTCAATTTTTACATCAGTTTTTGCGATCACTCAAAGAAGATCGATGTATTTCGACACACTGGTATTAGGAATTCATTAAAGAATATATCTTCACTGTGTGCTGAGTAACGTTTGAATTCCTTAATATATACTTCAATAGGAGTAAACCTGTTACTGCACTTAAGTGACGGATACAAATTCATATTTGAGCCGCGTCACGACAAAACCAACATAATGTGTTTGCGACCAGCATGGATCCAGACCAGCCTGCGCATCCGCGCAGTCTGATCAGGATCCATGCTGTTTGCTTACAAACCCTATAACAAGTAGGAAAACTGATAGCGAACAGCATGGATCCTGATCAGACTGCGCGGATGCGCAGGCTGGTCTGGATCCATGCTGGTCGCAAACCCATTATGTTGGTTTTGTCGTGACACGGCTCATTTCATTTTCAACAGGAATAAAATTGAAAAAAAAATTGAAATCTGTAAGTGTGTGACCTTGGAATTTTAAAGTATTAAAAAAATCTTCCTCATAGTGCTTTAATTATTGAACATCAGGCAAATGATAAAATGTCCTGTGGTTGATATGGATAATTAAAGACCACTTAAACTTGTCGTTTTGAGGTAATGTTATCATTATTTTGGGTACTTAAAGTTTGAGGGATATTATTATGTGTAACAGTTAAGTTTGAATTGCTGTAGTGTTAAAATCATATGTTATATATATATAAAAAAAGCCATTTATTCCAGGTAAAAAAGGGATTAAACTTGTTGATAATTTAAAGTAAGATTTAAGAATTATTTTTCATTTTTGGCACAGATTTCAATTGTACTCTTTAGATATATTCAGAATTATTTGAAGAATTCAACTTCGTTTGATGACAATTTTATTGTTATTATATTTGCAAAAAAAAAAGTCTTTTGCAGAATTATGCCCCTTGTTTTCTTTTGCTTATACATGTATACGAAATTAGTGAAACATGCTGGCTGCAGATAGCTCTTAAATTTTAACAAGGTTTTTCCAATAAATGTTTCTTGGTGGGATTAGGACTGGTGGGTTAAAGCTAACTGTGGGCGACTCCTCTCAAGTTGAAACAATATTAAATGCTTTTCTTTAAGTTTTCCTTAAGAAAAAAAAAACAACCTTGTTTTAATCTGCTTGAAATTTATAATCAGCGTCAATCAAAATATTACTTCACTTCACACAGATTAAGTAATTGATAATACAGTTCATACCGCAAGATAGTAGATTATCATCGTAGGTTTATCTCAACATTTCGTCAGGAAATTAAACCACTTACATGGAGTTTTATAATGACACACTCTTAAATTGTAACGAAATTTTTTCTTACAATTATTCCAAGAAATATGACATCTTAAAAAAATTAGATTACATTGATTGGCTAAGAAAAAACACACAAAAGAAACGTGCGATTAAAGTGATAAAAATGTAACTAAATGGAATATTAATTTTCATAATAAAATTATGATGATAAATTGCTGAGTCAGCTGGAGTTTTAATTAGGTACGATGGAATTTAGATTTTGTCCAATATAGTGTTGTTTTTAATTGAGTTAGACAAGATAAATTTAGCATGGACATAAAAAAAATGGAAATTCAAATGTTTTAAAATATTGAGTAAGGTATTAAGGACAGGAAATTCTGCTTTCGTGAGTAAAATTGACTGAATTAAATATTGAAAAGTTTTAATTTTTCATCAAAATTGTATTTTACTATGTTAATTATGGTGATAGTTATACATAATTTTATATCATTTTTATAATTTTATATAATTATATTTGTTATAATCATATTAATCAAATCAATATTTTGATGATTATGAATTATGATTGTCTTTAAAGTTAGAGTAAAAGAATGATGATTATATAGTCAGGGTTTTGTACTTTTTCATAACATAATTATAACAAATGGGGTGCCAATGGCCAAGTGGCCCGTAGACTAAGGTTGTTGACTTTAAACCATTTACCCCTCACCGCTGTAGGTTCAAATCCCAACAGGGACTTTGGATTTCCTTCAGTTGAGGAAGCTATCCTGAGCTAGGTTATGGAACATCAGTGGTTCTACACAGGTTTCAGTTCAGCTGAGCTGGAATGTCGCCATTATGACCTATATTGTGTGGGTGTTTCGTAAAACCCAATAAAACAAACAAACAAATAATTGTGAATTTTTACTGGTTAACCTGGCTCCTAATTGGCTCCTAATTATGGTTCTGGCTTATGACTGAATATGTAAATTTTGACTTGTGTACATAAGTGGCCCCAAATAGATATTATAGGGAACTCCGCAGATGTGGGATTTTCCCAGTTTATTCCCTGATAACCACAAACTTTTACCATTATTTAAGGGTCACAGGTGCACTACTGGCCACAATAGATAGTCAACCTGTTGCATTTATTTTTCGATTAGCTTTGGGGAAAAAAACCCAAAATATTCTTTATTATGGATTAAGTCTTTTGGCTTAAGGTTCAGACTAATATGAATGAATATGTGAATTTTGACAAGTAAATCTGGCATATAATTAAGTTATGTTCCAGCTCATGACTGAAATTTATAATACTACAGCCAACAACCTTAACTTAACCATAACCTGCTGGATCTGAAAGGGATATTAAGCTTTTCACAGCACCTTCAGTATGTATTTATTAGTAAATTCGGTCTGATATACCTTAACTGAACAGACTTACTCGGAATAAAAAATATTTGGAGTTTTATCAGCTAATATGGAGGGCAACAAACAAAAAAAAGCAGCTTCCAAAAAAAAATGGCTGACTTCCGGATAACAACATCTACTATTGTGTATTACCTTTTTCTCTTTCTTTTTACATTTCAGAAGCTCAGCTGACTTTGTGTATAAAGATATGGTTTGGTTCCAATTACAGTGACATTTCATCAGTTTAGTGTACAGAATGGGTTACAGCTTACACTGGAGATGGCTGATTCAGCTCTACTATTTTACCATGTGTTCCTCATTATTTTTTTCTGAGAGTAAGTGACAGTTATTCAAAGTTTTCATTGTCAGAGATTCATAATATTTAAAAAATCAGTCACTGGAGTATCAAAATGTAAAAATCATAATTTTATCAAATTTAGCATTGATTTTAGGTTATTTAGATTTAGTCCTTTGAGTGTAAAATATTACCTTCAATATTAATAATCTTTGTGACAATAGATTTAGACATTGACTTTAAAGTCATTTGTCTCATGGCAATGTTACAGTAATAATTTGGTTGTCACTTGCTGAGAAACTGCAGGTGATTGCTGGTTAGTTATCCAGGAAAGCTGGTATTAAGTTATCTACGAAAGCTGGTTAGTTATCCAGAAAAGCTGGTTAGTTATCCAGGAAAGCTGGTTAGTTATCCAGAAAAGCTGGTTAATTATCCAGAAAAGCTGGTTAGTTATCCAGGAAAGCTGGTACATAGTTATCCAGGAAAGCTGGTTAGTTATCCAGAAAAGCTGGTTAGTTATCCAGAAAAGCTGGTTAGTTATTCAGGAAAGCAGGTTAGTTATCCAGAAAAAACAGGTTATTTATCCAGAAAAGCTGGTTAGTTATCCAGAAAAGCAGGTTAGTTATCCAGGAAATCTGGTTAGTTATCCAGAAAAGCTGGTTCTTATCCAGAAAAGCTGGTTACTTATCCAGAAAAGCTGGTATTTAGTTATCCACAAAAGCTGGTTAGTTATCCAGAAAAGCTGGTTAGTTATCAAGAAAAGCAGGTTAGTTATCCAGAAAAGCTGGTTAGTTATCCAGAAAAACAGGTTATTTATCCAGGAAAGCTGGTTAGTTATCCAGAAAAGCAGGTTAGTTATTCAGGAAGCTGGTAAGGTTGATCCATTGCCAGGATTTGATAAAAAAAATATGTTAGAATTTAGCATAAAAACCAGAAAAAAAAAGAGACATTAAGAGAGAGACATAAAATTTCGTATGGCCAACCTGTATATCTAAATATCTTTTTTGGTACAAACCTCATCTTGTGCAATTTTATGTCAAAATTGTGCAGTTCACATAATTTTTTTTTTTCTGTTCACATAATTTTGTTGTAATGCAATTTCCAATCCTTGAAATAACATAGTACATAACTTAGCAGCATGGGGTATTTTCACCCAGATAAAGCTTTAGTGTCAGTAAAAATGCTTCTCTAGTTGGGATCTTTTTTAAGCTATTTATTTTATTGACACCTTGAATGATCGTCTTCTATTTCAATTGGGTTAAAGTCATTGACACTGTACACAGAATCAACTCCCTTCATATACTGAATCCAAAATTTATAGCACATTACAAAATTCTCTTAATTTCTACAATTTTTACAGCTTTTAGTGCCAATATTTTCCCCACAAAACTTTGGTAATTGTACAAATCACAGTCTTGATTTTAAAATAAATGTACAAAACTATGATTCTAAGCTTAAGTGATAGGATAAATGTGAATGAGTTTGTGCTATTATGGCAGGATAAATGTGAATGAGTTTGTGCTATTATGGCAGGATAAATGTGAATGAGTTTGTGCTATTATGGCCCTTCTTTCTGAAAGTGATGATTATTTAACCCTTTTCCTGCTTAAAATCTTTAATGGACTTGTCTATCTTTCAATCTGGATAAAACCATTCATCATTTTTAGGGAAAATTTCAAAATATGTAATGACTGAATAGCAAACAAGTGCAGACCATAATCTGGGATACTAAAAAAAGTAACACATTAAAATGTGCAGCCTATCTTGGTCTACACTGGTAGCAGGCTCAGTTTGCAGGCCAAGGGTCTAATGTATTGACTGTCACAGAATATGGCCATCTTTAAATGGACAGGTAAAAAGTGTACATGTATTTGCTACATTTCTTGTTATTTGTAGAACTGTTTCAAGTGTTCAGTTAGAAAAATGTATATTTTTACAGTAATTTCTTCAGAAGATAGCCGGGAACCAGACATTCAAATGTTTCCAACAGACCCAGCAGTTTGTATTTCGTCAAATGTCACCTTTAGGTGTAACAGTTCTTTGGGTTCAAAGAATGAAATTTCGATAATGACAGGAAAACAAAGATTCAGAAAAATGAATGATGTTAATAAAAATGGAAAACAGTCTGTTGAATTTACATTGTATAATGTCAGTAGATCTGACAATGGTCTACTTGTGTGTTGTACACTTGGCGACGCTTGTAACACATCAAAAGAAGTTGTGACAATGTTAAATGTACGAAATGTACTTTACTGTAAGTTATATTACCCATGTATATATTTATGTAATATGTTAACATAGAAATAAATGTTTGTTTCTTAACCTTTTCCCTCATATAGATGTGTTTTGACTGCTTTTTGCCCCCCCTCCCCCTTTTTGAGGCTTCAAACAGTGAAATATGCCCTATTAAGGCCCCAAAACACTGTTTTTCGTTAGAAAAATGTTGTTAATAAAGTGACCACTTTTTCGACACCAACCCCATCAAAATGGTACATCAGGGGGTTGCCTGAAGGGGGATGTGCCCCCTTTTGTTTTGGGGGTTTGAAGGGGGCAGTAGTCCCCCTCATCGCCAAGAAAATTTTTGACATGTGACAGACTAAAAATGGCCTCAGGTTAATCTTAGGGTAACTAGTAACCAATGCTGAAAGTCCTTTCTTCTATCTCAATTGGTTGAGAAGTTGCAGCACTTTGAAATCCGTTTTGATGGGAAAAAAAAAACTGCAAAATAGTGATTTTTCGCCATTTTGAAACGTCCCCCCATTTGCCATGGTAACAGGAAGGTTACAGAGGGTATGGTCCAGTCAACCTTTGTGCCAAGTTTCATCAGTATTGAAGTTTTTTTCATAGTTTCATAGCAGTTTGAACTTGTAAAAGGAGGCTTTTCAATGAAAACGGCCATATTTCACAATATACTCATGGGGTAAAAGGTTAATGTTGCTTTCCAAAATGAAAGGGTCCGGAACAAATGTTAACAGAAAGTTATTAAAACCAAGAAAAATTATAATCTGATTAAAAGACCAAGATAGAAAAGAGAGGGAAAAAAGGCCAATGGCTAGACATCAGAAACAAACAATTGTTTTTGTATTGCCCCAACTTATACTCGTAGATCTATATAGCATTCAAATTTTCTTATTACAGGCAACTATGAGGGCAAACTTGACCCAACTGACCCCCAAAAGTGCACCACCCAGAATGCCACCTTCACCTGCACATTGCAAAGCACTCCAATCTCTAGCCATTCCATAGGTTTCGCTGTAAAAAATTCCAGTACTAATACGTTGTATGTGCCTGTTGCTGAAGACCGGGTAACCATGACGAACCAAACTGTATCCATGTTTACACTTTACAATGTTACCACTAAAACTTGGGTAAAGTGCCTTTACTGGGAAACATTTGGAATTATTAACGATAAAGAGATGCTTGGTGATGTGTCAACTATTACCGTTTACCGTAAGCATAAAAAATGTTAATATTAACTTACTAACAAAATGTCTGTTTAACTGTTAACTTGGATTTAAATCTTAATAAAATGTAACTTTAATTACATATATTTAACAGTCAACAGAGATAGTTAGTTGTTTTTAATAAATTAAATTCAGTTTCTGTTAATGAAGTGTAAACCTAATAAATATCTTTAAGTGTTATTAACTTAGTTTAAGTTAGCATCCAAGAAATGTTATTTACAAATAACTTAAAATTTTAACTTGGTTTGTAAGAATTCAAAGATTAATTACAGATACCTTTTTAGTGTTAAAGTGACTCCACAAAGGTTTTTTGACATGTCGGGAATGGAAATAATTATTCCACATTAATGTGTTATTTTATTTAGGTCTCAACAAAGAACATGTTTGCAAAATTTCAGATCATTACTTCATTCTGTTTTCCCAGAATGATTATTTTAATTTTGAAATCAGACCCAAAAATTAAAAACGTTGCAATGCTTTTCACTTATATCAGGCAAAAATAGCACAACAACACGATTTTCAAGTAAATTCTGAGTATATTTCTTAATTATCTTTTGCATTTCCTTTCTGTTTTACGTGCCTCATTTGATTTATGTAATAATTTAAATTTTATGTTTTTAGGCTTTTGGAATCTCAGTGGAGTTCCTTTAACAATAATTAGTTGAACTAGCATCTATGATATCTGAACTAAATATAAATAAACAACCAGTTGTGTAAACATGGCGCATAAAATGATAATCTTCATCCAATCCAATTTAAACATTGTAAATAATTAAGTAAACTACAGGCATCAATGAAATGTTCATTCAACTTGTTGACAAAGTTTGGTAATTATAAGTGTTAAGGTACAAGAAATATTAACTTAATACTAAGTTAATAGCAAATACCCTCAAGTTTTAACTAAGTTGGAAAGCACGAATGAAGCGTTGACCAACTATTAATTAGAAAAAAAACAACATCCAAAATGTGTTCATTTAATAACAAACCTTTTGTTACAAGTGTTTAACATGTAGAAATGTTAACTTAATAACAATGATGTTTCTTTGACTTAATAACAATGATGTTTCTTTAACTTGTAAAAGTTATGCTTCTTTGATTTTGCTAAGTGTTTAATTATTAAATTAGTTATTGAAATGGACTGTCAACAATTCTGAGGAAACTTTTCGTTAAGGTATTACCTTTTCTTATATCACATGATTTAGTTATTATCCCTTTTAATAGTGTCCCTAAATGTTTAAAATGACTTGTTTTTAAGAAATAATATATCCCAAACAGTGACTTTGTCGCTCAATAACATCACTGTTAGGAGTTCGGATGCGAGGAATTATATCACGAGGGCGTAGCCTGAGTGATGTAATGATGCGCATCCGAACAACAAACAGTGATGTTATCAACGATAAAATCACCGATTTGGATATATCATTTTGATTCTAACACGACATCAACACATAAATGCTGCCGTACCTGATATTAACCTAAAATGCCCCTGATTTGTTTCCGTACTTATTTTCAGCGCATCACATTTTAGTGGTTACGTTACGTGTATAATGATTACGTCACATGTCTAAATATATTTAGTCAAATTGTGATTTTATTGCATGATAACACACGGTTTCGGTTCTTCTATGTTCAATGGGGGAAAACTGCGGGTCGTGTTAGAATATGTCATTTAGTGTTATAGTATCACATCCATTCCTTAAGTGTTTATATATTGTGACATAATCCATTGTATCCCTTAATGTTATTATGTTTTTGTGTCACATTTTAGCTTGATTTTTAGCAGAATAAAGAGAGCTATTGTAGTAACCCAGGCTAAATTGGTGTACCCCAAAAACTACTTAAGGGAATGTGTTGAAACTTCACATAGTTGTTCAGCATGATTGTCATAGTTCCCATTATCCCATAACTCTTGAGTTAATTTTCTACTGAGATTTGCCCCTTTTACTGTCAATCATTGAGTATAGTTGAGTGCCTAGTTGTTTATTTAAAAGTCTTACTTAGCATCATTGTTCAGACAGAATGTGAAAAATTTCTTATCCAGATGTCTGTCAATACATAGACACTCCACCATTGAGTGTCTTGGCCCAGGTCCCTTCTCCAATCTCAATAGTTATCTCATCAGTATTAAAGTGACTTATCCAGCAAATCCACCAACCCAAGGCACCACCACCTTAAACCCCTCTTTCATAGACATATTGCACACAAAAGTGCCATTATTACACATGCCCTATACACCCTTTTCAGATTTGTTCACTTCTATATTTAAGATCCTAATATATAAACTAAAAACCAATGTAAGAATGTATAGTTTAATTATGTCGCAATTTAACAATTTAATTGTTACCAGTAATACACAGGAAAAACTCTTTATTCTGATTTATTTTTCTTTGTTCAAGATTTATCTATTTTTTAAATTTTATACATAGATTTAGGGTAAAGCAATTTTAGGACTTGGTATAAATGAAATTATGTGCCATAATTAACATTTGTACTGTATTGAAATATTGAAAAATTAAATGCACAGGATTTTGAACATTTTTTGTGCCCCCACTATTGGGGGAGGGGGCATTTAGATTTACCCTTGTCTGTCCCTCCATCTGTTCCCTATTGTATTGCACATGGCTCAAAAAGTATTTGACCTAGAGTCAAGAAACTTTACAGGAATATTGGTCAGCATGTGTAGTTGTGCACCTAAGTGTTTGCATGTGGATTTATATGTTTTGTCAGAGTTATTGCCCTTGACTTAGTGAATATTTACAATTTTCATCTTGTGCCACACATAGCTCAAAAAGTATTTGACTTATTATAGTCATGAAACTTTACAGGAATGTTCATCAGCAGGTGTGGTTGTGCACCTGGTTGTTTGTGTGTTGTTTATTCAGTATTTGTAGAGTTATGGCCCTTGACTTGTGTCGCATGTAGCTAAAAATTTGAATATTTTGCCTAGGGTCATAAAACTTTACAGGAATGTTGCTCAGGATATGAAGTTGTGCACCTGATGTTTCACTTATGGATTTATTCTGTTTTGTCAGAGTTATGGCCCCTGAGTTATTAAAAATATGAAATTTTTAATTTGTGTTGTGCGTAGCTCATAAAGTATTAGACCTAGAGTCATGAAACTTAATAAGAATGGTGTTCTGTATATGTAGTTTTGCACCTTGGGGTTTGCTTGTGGATTTATTCAGTATTTGTAGAGTTATTGCCCTTGACTAAGTAAAAGTTAACAATATTCATATTTTGTGGCATGTTGCTAAAAAAAGTCATGAAACTTTAAAGGAAGTTAATAAGCATGTGAAGTTGTGCACCTAGTGTTTAGCTTGTGGATTGATTCTGCTTTGTCAGAGTTATTGCCCTTGACTTTGTAAAAATTTCCAATTTTCTATTTGTGTGCACCTTGGGACTTTTGCATGTGGATTTTTTTTAGTTTTGTTAGAGTTATTGTACTTGACTTAGTGTTAATTATAGACTTTTTCATGCATAACTCAAAATGTATTTGATCTGTTGTCCTGAAAGTATATGTTGATCAGCATGTGTAGTTATGCACCTTGGGGTTTGCTTGTGGATTTATTCAGTATTTGTAGAGTTTTTGTCATTGAATGACTTAGTAAAAGATTTTCAATTTTCAACTTGTGTCCCATGTAGCCAAAAAACATTCGACCTAGAGTCAAGATTGACAAAATAGTAGAAAGCGGGGGCGCCAGTGTCAATGTCTGTTTGATGTATAAATTGATGCACAGGTGCCTGACGTCTAACACGCCCAAACACCTACCCTAGCCCACCCCTTTACTTAGTAAATATCCTATGTATAAAACCCACTGTTTTATAAAGTAATAGATTCATAAGAAAGGTATTAAAAACTCAGGCACCCTGTGGAATTGATCTTTTTTAAAAATTTAACAATATTATTATTACATACATGTATGATAATCTATCTATACATGACCAAAAGCTATTTTTACTATTTTAGCCATGCCGGTTGAATTGGAAGCTGTGAACTGTGTTGTAGATAATTATCTTGACTCCATGAATTGTACATGGAATGATGGAACAACCTATAGAAACGGGTTCACACCTTATGTCACATTTCAGTGGTAAGCTTTTATTATATAACCAGCTTTAAAGGCCCATTATGCCTCAGAAATACTTTTTATTTATTTCTCAAAAGCTTTTTTAATTTTGGTATTTTTAGTAACAAAAAAACCCAACCTATTGGCGTATTACCTGAACTATCTTTTTCATCTGTTGCTGTTTGGAAATAAGTACAGTTATAGTGAAGTAGTGTTTTGTATGGAAGTCAAAATACTACTTTGTTTACATTTTGCTACTTTTATGAGAATAATTATTTAACATGTATGCTACTTTTTAGCTCAACTTTTTTACTTCAATTGTCAATATTTTTCAAACAAGATTGTAAACTTTTGTGCCATTTTTTTTTTTTATTTATGTCCAGAATTTTTGTACAGTTTTTTAAAAATAAAGTTTTTTTAAAAAACCTTTTGAAAAAACCCCAAAATTTACCATCAATCTTTTAAATTTTTGGGTTATTTTTATGGGGGTTTTTAAAATTTTACCTTGGATGACCTTAAATATGATGCACATTACATAGAAGATATTGAATGAGTATAGATTCAATACTAAATTTATTGAATGCATTGAATAAAATCATATTATGCGAGTCACTAGCAAGCATAATATTGTTTTATTCAACGTGTTCAATAAATTTAGTATTGAATCTACACAAATATAATGTTCTATTTATCACATATATAAAATAATTACGGTAAACTGTTAAAAAGAGTCATTTTTCATTGACGTGCCTAATAGTGTATGTCTAAGGGCACTTTAACGCTATGTGTATTATATAGCGCAAATGATGTCACGTCAAAGTGTTATTACACTACTGTAATATCGTTTTTATATGCCCGAAAGGGCATATTATGTTATACCCCCTGGCGTCCGTCCGTCCGTCCGTCCGTCCGTCCGTCCGTCTGTTAGCAATTTGTCCGTTAGCAATTTGGTTTCCGGAGGCATAACTTAAGTTCCATTTGGCCCCCAATGTTCAAACTTCATAGGATGATTGTCCATATTGGGTAGATGACCCCTATTGATTTTGGGGTCAAAATGTCAAAGGTCAAGGTCACTATTACCTTGATACTGAAACAACAGTTTCCGTCCGTTAGCAATTTTGGTTTCCGGAGCATAACTTAAGTTCCATCTGCCGCATAATGTTCAACTTCATAGGATGATTGTCCATATTGGGTAGAAGACCCCTATTGATTTTGGGGTCAAAAGGTCAAAGGTCAAGGTCACTAATTACCTAAAACTGAAAACAATTTCCGGAGCCTAACTTAAGTTCCATTTGACCCACAATAATCAAACTTCATAAGGATGATTGTCCATATTGGGTAGAAGACCCTATTGGATTTTGGGGTCAAAAGGTCAAACGGTCAAGGTCACTATTACTTGATACTGAAAATAGTTTCCGTCTTTAGCAATTTGTCCGTTAGCAATTTGGTTTCCGGAGCATAACTTAAGTCCATTTGGCCAAATGTTCAAACTTCATAGGATGATTGTCCCATATTGGGTAGAAGACCCTATTGATTTTGGGGTCACAAGGTCAAAAGGTCAAGGTCACTATTACCTTAAAACTGAAAAAGTTTCTGGAGCATAACTTAAGTTCCATTTGACCCACAATGTTCAAACTTCATAGGATGATTGTCCATGTTGGGTAGAAGACCCTATTGATTTTGGGGTCACAAGGTCAAAGGTCAAGGTCACTATTACCTTGAAACTGAAACACAGTTTCCGGATCATCAACTTAAGTCATTTGAACCACAATGTTCAAACTTCATAGGATGATTGTTCATATTGGGTAGAAGACCCCTATTGATTTTGGGGTCACAAGGTCAAAGGTCAAGGTCACTATTACCTTGATACAGAAAACAGTTTCCGTCCGTTAGCAATTTGGTTTCCGGAGCATAACTTAAGTTCCATTTGACTCACAATGTTCAAACTTCATAAGTTATGATTGTCCATATAAGGTAGAAGACCCCTATTGATTTTGGGGTCAAAAGGTCAAGGTCAAGTCACTATTACGCTTGATACTGAAAACAGTTTCCGGAGCATAATTTAAGTTCCATTTGACCCACATATTCAAACTTCATAGGATGATTGTCCATATAAGGTAGAAGACCCCTATTGATTTTAGGGTCACAAGGTCAAAGGTTAAGGTTAAGGACTTAAGTATAAATCAACCTACATCTGTAAAATTTTATAGGATGAACAGCTTATTCCCATGTCTAATGAATGCTTCATCCTTACTAAAAAAAAAACACTTTCGGGCATATAATGCTCCGCCTAGCGGTGCTCTTGTTATTAAATGGCTTTATTACACTCCTGTGCCATGGTTTGTGTGATAAAATTTTTTACTTCTGCACTGAAAGAAATTATGACAATATCTAGAAATGGTTCTCAGGTGAGCAATATAGGGTCATCATTGCCCTCTTGTTTCATTAATGGTCCTATTTCAGTGGTATCTGCCTCAACTGTCTCCTACTGTGCTTTGAAGATGTGTTAAAAGCCAATATGATATCAAATATTCCATAGTATTGTATAAAGTATGATCTAAGATAATTGTATATTAATGCCTTTTGGTAGCAAAATGTATGAAGTTTCCAAACATTGAAGTACTTTTGTGACATTGAAGTATTAGCGAATTGTGATAAATTGCAAAAATAATATTCTGAATATGATATATCCCATTTTTTAGGAGGATACCAAGTTATAGTTTAGTTTGGAACAATTGTTCACAATTGGACCAACAGTACCGCTACTGTTACTGGCCTAACTCTAGTAAAGGTGACTTTACTATGAAGCCCATAGATATACAACTGATTCAGAAGTCGCCATGTGGTGAAAATGATACCTCTGACTTCACAGTGGATACCTCACAGATAGGTTTGTATTTCTTTTTAACCCTTAACCTGATAAATTTCTTAAACAGACTTTTCTAGCTTTTGTTTACAAAACTTTTAATTATCATCTAAAACATATTTATTTAAGCTCGATTGTGAAACAAGTTCTGGCAGCTTACATTAATCACTTTCGAATCTGCTTCCTAATGAACCAACCAGTACTGGTGTCATATGAAGAAACATGGCCATGACCCGATTGAGGCTCAAACCCATGATCCCTGGGTTGAGGGACAGACCTCTTAACCACTAGGCCACTGCTCCCCCTTCGCATTTTTATCATTATCTCAATTATCATCTAAGGAGGTATCAAAATGAAAGTTTACAGTTAGTCTGCCAACAATTTAAGGCCTGGTCAGACTGCATGCATGTGCTGGCGGGCCAGGCACTTTACTTGTGACAAACATTTAGCTCGCTTCTTGTTACAGTAGGGTAAAGGTTAAAGTATCCTATATAACTGCTTTAGTCAGCTTATGGTTATACATATTGATGTCATATGAAAATATATGTTTGTGACCCCAAAAAGGGCTTGGACCTGTGATTGCTAGATTAAGAGGAAGACATTTTATTTTTCTAATTTTTAGAACTAACCTTTTATAGGTGTGATATGAGGAAACATGTATGTGACACCAAAAGGTATCGAACCTGCAGTTCCTAGGTTGAGAGGCAGACATATTTGATCACAAGTCTTAATTCACTTCTATATATATGATAAATGACAATCTTTTACCCCTTCATTGGAAAAATTATGGCATTTTATAGTTTTATGAGTTGTCTGTGGTCAAATGGTTAAGGTCGTTGACTTTAAACCACTTTCCCTTTACTGCTGTGGTTTCAAAGCCTGACAGGGACTTTGGGATCTTTCATGTGACGAAACTCTCCAGCTAGCTCACATAACGTCAATGGTTCTACTCAGGTGCCTGTTTCTTGCCTAAAATAATGAACAGCAAGGCACCTGAGATTTTCCTCTACCACTAAAGCTTGAAAGTCTAATATTATATGTCACCTATACCATGTTGGAGCACATAAAACCCAACAAAAGAAATATAAAAAAAATAAAATGCCACTAACATTCTTGTTCATTTTTTCATTGAACTTAAATATTGTCAATACATAATTGACTTTTTGTTTGTTTTTGATATTTAGTGAAGCCCAGACCAGTGACTGAATTAACGTCTAGAACTGTAAACAGTACATGTATTTATGTGCAGTGGAGAACCACTAACTCCCAAATGCAGTATCCTAAAGAGCATAGGGTGAGCGTAACAAACAAGTGGGATAAGGGACAGGTAAAGTTCTTGCATTGAAGTTTGACTCTTTGATATTTCCAAACATAAATGAGAAAATTTGGAAGTTAGAAACAACATGAGTAAAAATACGGTATTTTTTCATTGTGAGTACAAAATTATTTGAAAATAAATTTTGATTGTTAATGACTAAATTTTTCATGTTCCTTACATCAAGGACATTGCCTAACTTTGAGTATAACTAAGTTGCATTTGGGCCCCTTGTGGTCAAGGTCACTGTTACTAAAAATAGAAAAAGTGGTATCCAGGCAATAACTACAGTTGTGAAAAATATGTAGTTCAACAACATCTTAAGAAACAGTTAAGTGGGAAAGAGAAAAAAAAGAATTATAAAAGTACGGAATTCAGTTACTAACAAATTAAGGCCATAACTTTTTAAATTTAAGCTTAATATACCTTAAATAAACACAGTTTTCTTTCATTTAGATATTTAAGTTCAACACAACAAATAAAACGGAAAGGTACGTCCACAATAGAACATTTTGTAATCTACATCCCTACACAAAGTACCAATTTACAGTAGATATACAGCCAATAGGAGAGGAGGCAGGGTTTTTCAGTGATCCGAGGCAAACAGAGGCGATGACATACTCTGATTGTGAGTATTAATATTTGAAAAGTTAAAAATTAAAACACAATGATTTAGGGGAATAATTCACAATTTCTCAAACTTTTTTCATACAGTGTTTGAAGGAGTGGTCTTCCACAAGCTGCCTTATCACCTTCTTTGTGTTGGTACAATGTAAAATTCAGCCATGACAATAATCAAGTTTGAAATGACTAAGTTGAACATAGCTTTAATTAAAGCCATAGTTTTTTATATAAGAATGAAAATAAAATCTAGTCTACCCCCTGCAAATACAGGAATAAAGAAAGTCAGTAAGTTTTATATAATAATATGGTTTTACTTAAACCACCTTCCAACAAAGAACTGCATTATTTATTTGATGTAGGTATTTTTGAATAGAATTTTATAAACTTTCAGTTCCTAGTGCAAGCCCTGAGGTTGTCTCGGGGGGTTACGGCTGGAATCCGAACGATTGTAATGCACCTTATACTAAAAGAAGTATCTGTGTTCCTTTAAAGGTAAGTTTTTCAAAACAGTTTAATGAACACAACCAACCCATTCAAATCTAAAGATTTGTATAGTGAGAACTAGGCACCTCTTATGTCATTTATTATAGAGTGTAAGACAAACATTCAATGGAATAACTCATTAATTTTGGTTAAGGGCAGATATCTAACCCAGTGACTTGTAACATGTAAGGCAGACAGACTTTCAATTCAATGACTTTGTCAGAAACTTTCATATTGTGGCTTCTTGAGAATTCAGCATGTTTATATGCCTGTAGCATGTAGTGTTTTATCTATATTTCATTGGAACGTTACTTACAGGATGAAAAACTTTTTCGATCACTTTTAGAGATACTGCCTATTCCTGGTTAGTAACCCAGGAAAAACAAAACTGCCAAGATATGATCTAAATTGTGTTAAAATTGGCTTTAAAATGAACCCAAAAAATGCCTTAAGCGATATGACTAGGTTTTTTTTTCTGTTTTCAGTCCATAGCACCTATAAATGAAAATGGGCCAATGAAAGGGCTTGTTGTGACATACATAAATGAACAAGGGAAAGAAATGCGTGATGACCTGGCGGAAGATTTAAAGTATGCTTGTACGAGTAACTTGATGTGCAATACTACGTATGATTTTTATATCAGAGCCAGAAATGTGAATGGAACTTCGACAGTGAGTTCCTCAATACGAATACCGGCATCAACATTAGGTAAGATTTGCCACGTATCGATTTTACTCTGGTGACCATTCATGCCTGAAATATTGCACAGCCGGGCATCTGAGGTCTTCCTCCACCAGTATTGCTGGAAAGCCACCGTATGACGTACACTGTGTTATTGCAACGTAAAAGCCAACCCCTAAAAAAATCACTTTGTATGAATTTGAAGTTCGGTTTAAATTGTTTACATGTTTACTTCTATCTATATGTCTAAGGAATTGCCTTTCTTTAAATGTAAAATAATTTTAACAGATTTCAGTATTGGAATACATGTATTAGGTTATGGAGTGTTATTAAACTTTATTGAGGCAATTCAGAATTCTGAAATGATAATAATATGTGTTCATGTTTTTTTTTTTTTTTTTTTTTTTTTTGATTTTCAGGAATTGAACAGCCAAATTTTATAGTCGAAGCAGGTAATGGCACTAATGTGACAGTTAGTTGGCCTGAAACAGGGGATGCTACCACTTTCATTGTATTTTGGTGTAGAAACAGAAATGGTAATTGTGAAGTGAGTATTAGACTTCCTAAAATCTTTAAAACGAATCAGTATGAATTTATTTACAGTTTTACAAATTCTGAAAGAAAATTGTTTTTACTCTTCTGAAAACGTTTTTCTCAAGGTTGATTTTCTTTACAACATAAATGAACCGCGTCATGACAAAACCAACATAATGGGTTTGCGACGAGCATGGATCCAAAACCAGCCTGCGCATCCGTGCAGTCTGATCAGGATCCATGCTGTTCGCTTACCAACTCTTTAACAAGTACAGAAACTGATAGCGAACAGCATGGATCCTGATCAGACTGCGCGGATGCGCAGGCTGGTCTGGATCCATGCTGGTCGCAAAACCATTATGTTGGTTTTGTCGTGACACGGCTCAAATGTTGTTGACATAGCAGTTCAGAATAATCAATGAATGGTCGAAGGCACCTTGCTGTCTATGAAATCCATAAAGAAAATAACTGAGAGTTAAGGGGACGTAACTCTCATCCTTTTGAGCAAATAGGACTTTATTATGTGCATTGAAGCTTTTGATTGGATAGATTATTTTAAATCTATAAAGTATATTTAAGCTGATGTCAAGAATGTTCATTGGTCTTAGCTTTATACAGTCATCCTTAGAGTGAACTCAGATTTAGTTTACACTCAGTGGAAATAAACACTTCTTCTATATCTCAGTTTTGTTCTTTTTAACTTTCGAACAAAAAGTCGAGCTATTACTATCACTGCTGGGTTGTTATCATCATCATTGTCGTTGTGCAAAGACTTTAATGTAGCCCATTAACTCAAACAATTTTTAAGGTATCAATATGAAACTTGGAATACTTGTCAAACACGACAAGAGGCAGTTGTAAGTCAAGGGACATAATTCGGAAAGTTTCATTTTAAGAGTTATGGCCCTAAGTTATAAAGAATTTTTGTCAAAGGTTGTTAATTTAATAGACATGTGTTAACACTACGTGCAATGCTCTTGATCTTTTGATTACAATATCGTTCTTTTTCCACGAAAATAAAAATAGCTTTTATTTGTAACTTCCCACCTCAAATACACTGAAATACATCAAACATGTACAGAGACCCATTTCAGAAAAAAATAACGTACATTGTAGATATTTTTGTTTGGTATTTTCTTTAACAGGAAAAAGAAAAAATTAACTGGAGAGAGTTTGCAGGGAATACAAGAGAGGCTGTCATACAGATAGAGAAAACTAACTCACCACAAGATTTTCTGTATGCTGTTAGTTTACTGACCGATCAAGGGAGCAGTGGGTTTTCATGGCAGGAGTGCGTTTACCTTAAAAATGCTCGTAAGTTTATTTTGAGCTCGTCTTTTCTGTAGAAAAAGTCAAGCTTTTGTGATCGTTGAGGCATCATTGACATGCAGAAACTTTAATGCAGCTCACTTATCAAACAGTTGCAAAGTTGTCAATATGAAACTTGGAATGCCAAAAGGAAGTTGAAAGACAAGGGGCATTATTCTGAAAGCTATGTTTTTTTAGTCTAAGAGTAATGTCCCCTTTTAACTTAGAATATTTGTCAAAATTGCATATTAAGTAGAATGATTTCAAAACTATGAAAGATATCAACATGAAACTTGGAAAACTTGATTATCATCACAAGGTACAGTTTTTGTGTTGCCGCCTTGAAAAAGGCTACATATAGGAGTTACTTTTGTCAGCGGTGTCGGCGGCGCTGTCAGCGTCCCCTAAAGCTTGTCCGGAGCATAAGTCAGTCATTATAAGTTGGATTGACTTCAAACTTGGTATGCATGCTTCTTATAATGACCCGAAGTGCAGTGCATAAGAACTGGTACTCTGTATTTCTTAATTTTTGAGTTATTGCCCTTTGTTAATTTTCATACTTTATTATTGTCCGCGCCATTTCTCCTAATGTATAAAAGCTATGGACTTGAAACTTCATAGGATGATAGATCTCATTAAGAAGAAGTGCAGTGCACAAGAACCGGTGCTCTGCATTTCTTATTTTTTGAGTTATTGCCCTTTGTTAATTTTCATACTTTATTTTTGTCCAGGCCATTTCTCCTAATGTATAAAAGCTATGGACTTGAAACTTTTTAGGATGATAGATCTCATTAGGAAGAAGTGCAATGCACAAGAACCGGTGCTCTGCACTTCTTATTTTTTGAGTTATTGCCCTTTGTTAGTTATCATACTTTATTTTTGTCTGGGCCATTTCTTCTAATGTAGAAAAGCTATGGACTTGAAACTTCATAGGATAATAGATCTCATTAAGAAGAAGTGCCGTGCACAAGAACCGGTACTCTGCACTTCTTGTTTTTGAGTTATTACCCTTTATTAATTTTCATACTTTATTTTTATCCAGGCCATTTCTCATCAATTATGAAAGCTATAGACTTGAAAATTTATAGGATGATAGATCTTCTTGATAAGAAGTGCAGTGCACAGAAACTGCTGCTCTGTATTTCTAATTTTTTTGAGTTATTGCCCTTTGTTAATTTTCATATTTCATTTTTGTTCACAGCTCCACAACGGGAAGTTAGAAACCTGGCTGTTTCCCCGGGACCAGAGGATAATTCTTTGGTGGCGACTTGGGATAAATTGACTTGCCAGTCAGATCAACCGTATATAGCGAAATACAATGTTCGATACAACGAAGTTAATAATCGGCACTTTGCAGGTAAGAAAACCGTTCGTATATATATAAGGGAGGGGATGTCATTGTCATGAACTATGCAAATGTAAATGAAAATTGCAAAATGGATCTATTGTAATAGACATGGTTAATTTGTACAATGTTATATATATATAAATTATGTAAATGTTGGTTATTTTTTTCATTTCAGTTGTGAATGTATCAGCATCTGGTGAAGCCAGGGTGGTGTTACGTGATCTAAAGCGAGATCAAGCTTACAGTGTTTCAGTGAGAGCTGTCACAAGGACGGGAGAATATGGACCAATCGGCCAACTTAAGACCAGCACACCTGTTAATAATAGTATGTGCTGCAATTAATTCTTTTGTCTTCTATTGAGTTTTAAAAGTCTTAAAGGAACTCCACTGAGGTTGAATTTGTTACAAGTATCAGCTGGGCCACTTAAAACAGAAAGATATCTAATGATAATTTTGAAATATACTCAGAAATAAATTTAAACTTGTAATTTTCTGCTTTCTTAGCCCAATTTCAGTGAAAAGCGTTGAAACACTTTATAGTTTTAAGTCAGTTTTCACAATTCTAAATAATTATTCTGGAAAAACGGAGAGAGCAAATGATTTGAAATTTGTACACACGTTTTTGAGCTAGACCTGCATGAAATTGAGCATTAATCTTGAAGAATCCTATTCAGTCCTGTAATGTCAAAAAACCTGAGTGAAGTCCCTTTAACAATGAAATTCATCCCATAATTTGGATTCTGCATTGTCTTCTTAAACACACTAAAGAGACAGAGGGAAAAATAACATAAATGTAAAATTACTTTGCTTATTGTTGTATATGTGTACAAAAGTATTTTTCATTTCAGGTTTAAGGCAATGGGAAATAGTATTAATTGTTACTGGTGTAGTGATTGCAGTAATCGTCATAACCATCATTGTTATTTTACTTATGAGGTAAACTTTATAGCAGATTTTTATTATATATATTTTTGGTACTAGTATATGTAAGTATGTGAGGTATCTTGTTTATAATGTATAAATCGTGCATGTGTAGTAAAATTCATCCTTGTCTTTGGGGGGACAACTGGCCCTTCCTTGAGAAAATTTTTAGATTTTAAACTTTTTTGTTTACTTTAACAAATCATAAAACCTAAGTTCAGTTCATCTGACTTGATATGCTCCGAGTGTTGTTAATGTTGATGATTTCCTTATTTATAATGATTTTCTGTTGTCTGTCATCTGCCGTGTTGACACATTTTTTGTCATGTCTCGTTATTCACCATTTTGTTTGTTTCATCTGGTTTTTATGTTGATTTTAACACATATTTTGGTCATATCTTTGTCTGTGCACTTTAGCGACTTTTCTGGATAACCAACCAGTAATTAACAATTTCTCTACAAGTGACCAAATACTACTCCAACATATTTTTTGAATGAGCTTTAAGAGACAAGTAGGCTTAATATCTGAGACCAATTGAGCCGTGTCACGACAAAACCAACATAGTGCGTTTGCGACCAGCATGGATCCAGAATGCCTGCGCATCTGCGCAGTCTGATCAGGATCCATGTTGTTCGCTATCAGTTTCTCTACTTGTTAAAAGGTTTAAAAGCGAACAGCATGGATCCTGATCAGATGCGCAGGCTGGTCTGGATCCATGCTGGTCGCAAACACACTATGTTGGTTTTGTCATGACACGGCTCAATTGTTATGGAGAATTTCACTTCTCCTCCTCTTATCTATTGAACCAGTGCCATTTGGATCGCAAATCAAATGCGCTCCCTATTAAGCTAAGTGGACCGACCCAATTTTGTGAAAGAAAATTCGGCAATTGTTAGAACAGCACATGCTTGATAAATAAAAGAAACATTTGTGGAAATAAATAATGTATTAAATACTGATTACGTAGTTTATCATTTTGATTTATAAATGTATAATTCAATCCCTTTTTTATTGAAAAAGTTAAAGTCAGAGTAATTTCTAAATGCCAATAGGAAAATACATGAATATTACGTGTTTTAGGGTAAATGGTGTACTCATTTTAATAAATCAGTAAGATGAAAAAGGCTTATAATCAATCTTATTGAATTTTATATTGTTTTTTTTATTTCATTTTTACAGCTGTTACAGAAAGAAAAAGAGGTCGATTTTGGAACAGGGGAATATAAAAATTGATGATGATTTTGTAAGTATTGAATTTAGTTTTTAATCTAACCTTGTACAAAAGAGCCTCTTTGTTAAATCATAGACATATTCTTGGCAAAAAATAACGTTTTCATTTTTCCGATCAAGATATGAGTAGTAAATAACACCACATGTTTTCTAATAAGGTAACTGTTAACCTTTTTATTTGGTTTTAAGGGATTATGGTTTAGGATATATATGAGGTAATATAAGTAATGTAAACAACTATGAAAGTACTCGTTTTCTATACATTTTGTATCTATAACTTATTTGTAATTAATTTGAAATTTTGTCCCAATTTCAACTTTTTATATACGATTTATTTTCTTTGCAGATGAAAGAAGAATATGCAAATAGAACTAATGTAAGTTTTGAATTTTTATCAAAATAATTTTCAAATATTTTTGCCTTATGTACTTGATGCTTTTAATAAAATACAAAATTGCATTTCAAAATCCAATGTGATTAATTAATAAAATCCCAAAATTGTAATTTATGTTATATTAACATTAACGTCACAAGGTATATTTTGCCAAAAAATGTTGTTTTTTGGGAAGTCTGTAGTCCTTCTTTTTATTATCCATCAAGGGATTTTTAAGTTTCTTTGCAGAAATGTTCACTACACTTAGACCACGTGTCATGCCCTACCTCAAATGTTTATGTCACAATAAAAGTGAATCGCTTAACATGGTTTATGATAAGGTCTGTTTTGTGTCTGGTTCACAACTTTTCTATTCATCAAAAAATTTTGAAATAACTGTGACATATGCATGTATATATTATATTAAGAGAAGCTGTGATGCTCAACACCCAGACCCCTGCCACTAATGTTAAATTCACACTAACAGGTCAAGTTGTTCCGGGACCCACGCTTGGTCTGGGGATTGGGTTCCATTGGCCCCTCCGGAGATATAGATTACCCCTCAGCCAAATATGAAAAGATTCCAGTGAAACCACGGATTTATATATCATTGTAATGTAAATCCGTGGTGAAACTTAAAATATAAATTGAAAACATTGAGATGACCTGCACTGCAAGAAAATCGTAACTCATCAAAAAGTTTCCAACTTATCTTTCTTTATGAACTTATTTTCAGTGATAAAAATGTACAAAACATGTATTTCTGTTGACACTTAAACGGGAGTTCTTTCATTTCTATAATGAATTAATTGTTGCATACGCAGATCTTGCAATTATCAAGGTTTTGCTCTGAAAGTCCTGATCCATTCCTCCAACTTGAAATAGTACAATTATGTGCATCATATAAAACTTCACTTAGGTAGGGGATGTTGGTAACTCCTTTAAGATTTCTTATACCCATAAGGCTGTTTGAAAACAAAAACTGACTGGCTTAAACAAGTTGCTTTCTACTGCTAAATGAAATAACATTTATGTTTTGTTTTATAAATTTACAATGTGTTTTTTTTTCAGTCGATTGAACGCCAGAATAGTGATGATAGTGGCTATAATCCAATGACTCCTCCAGCTGACAGGTTTGTAGATCAACCTTCGTATAATGCCACATCTAAGCCTGACTGTCAACCACAACTTAGACCTGATGGTTATTGCATAGCCACAAACGGTACTAGTCAAGCAAGTTTGCCAATCTTACATATCCCGTATACTACAGACATTCTAATTCCACAAAATCCAATTGTGGCTGATGTCGGCTTTGTATTTAATGAAAGATACTCGAATAGTGGAGAAACCTTTTTGAAGGATTTTGGTCCACCTTCTATGCATAATGAAACGGCAATTAAAACAAGAGTAAAGAAAGAATCCGGTGATTCTGGTATGAGTGAGACTTTTGCAAAAGAAATAATTGAGACATCAGAAACGGATGTTTTATGTAAGACTGGCGAAAATGTTGATAAAAAGAATTCTCAAATTGAATCAATTATTGGTAGCAGTGAAGTTCCTGATTATGTGTCAGTGGACACTGCATCTAATCCTAGTAGTGTAATACAAGGTAACATGCAAGCTTTTGGTGGTCAAGAAAATAGGGCTTTCTCGACTGAAATGCATACTTCAAGCTCCGGGTCATCACCAGAATATGTAAAAGCACAAGCAGCTCCAGACAGCCTTACTTCCCAGTTGTCATCTAATTCTTACAATGCTTTGACTATTCCCTCTGATACCATCCCTACTGTCCAAGATCATTTTCCTGAAAATAACCAAACTTTTGTTGAACGATGCAGCAACTCTTTTGATAATACCGTTCCTTTGTTAACTGTTATTCCTTGTCCTGCTGGAATGGATAAAAGTGTGAGCAATAATGGTACAAGTCCGACTGATGAAACAAGTTTTCCATTGACAAGTTATACTACTGTGACTGGACCTTCATTAAGTGCAGAGGAAGACGATGGAAAAGATGGTACTGACATGCCTTTACCACATGTACAATTAGACCGTCTATTAAGTCGTTTACCAAAGCCATCAGTAGAAATTGATGATGATGCTATGAATGATGTTGCAAAAATGAATATTCCAGACCATGGTTCAACAGTAAATGATGAGCAACATTTCGAGGATAATGCAAAAACATCAAAAGAACGGAATGTATCAGATTACGTACAAACAACTGATTTAGATTGTGTGTCACCTAATATTGGAAGGGAACAAAATTTGCCATATGTTCAGACAACTGATCAAAAGTATTTTGTAGACTGTGTACAACCAAGTACCCCAGATTACTATGGAGAGTCTGCTAGAGAGACTGATCAAGAGTGTGATATTAGTGTTCCAGATACAGTCTTCCGTGTGGAACCTTATGTTACTTTGCCATCTTCATCAACAAGCCAGATAAGCACTGTGACACCATTTAATGCCAGTATCAATTCAGCTCAAGAAAATGATGTATCTAATGTAAATTCATTAAGGAATGCAGGTCCTGACAGTTCTTTACCATCTGAAGGATATGTTTCTTCAGATTTTGCAAACCAAGCATTCAATCCTACCATTAGTGCTGACTCAACAGTTTCATTTGATAATCATATCACTCAGTCCATTGCTGGAACAGGTTATGTTCCAACTTGTTCAGCAGCTTTAACAATGCCTTCCATAGATAATGCCAGTCCGCCAACTGTTCTCCAAAGCCAGACTTCTGCTTTTGTTATTGGCCAAATTCCCGAGTGTTCAGTTGATAATGAAAATAATGTTAGTCATCTACAAAACCTGATTTGCCCCCCTGCACTCACTGATAACAGTTTTGTTTACAATCCAGACGGATATGTCTGTCATCCAAATAGTTCTCCTGATGCAAACCCTTCTTCAACAGTAAGTAATAACATTCTTTCAAGAAACAGTCCTATTCAATATTCACCATCTCGAGACAGTTCAGCATATGTTTCAAGCACAGAGATTCCTGAAATATTTTCAAAAAAGCCCCAAGAAAACTCTGAAACAGGTAACCCATCATCAAGTGGAAGTCTGCACTCTTATAATGATGAGAAAAATACAAATATTTCAAAAAATAATTGCAAAGGACCCAACACAAATGGCTATGTTGATTTGAAGTTTATTTCAGAAGGACACTTAAACGAAGCCTTTTCCTTCAATGATGATAGCAGTAATTCCAATTTCGGGATGAGAAATATGGCCAGTGAAGATGAAGTTGAAGATGTAGTTGAAAGTCAGATTGATGACTTCACTTCTGATTCAGGGAGGAGTACACTAGAAGACGAGAATTCAGGGAGAGATCAAATGCAACAAAGTAATTTTGATGGTTATGTCTCAAGTGAATATGCCATGGAAAGATTATGATCTCGATTTAAATCATCATTTTTCATCAATGCATATGCATGGTCAATATCATCACCAGAGGTATTCTTTAGAAGGGGAGACTTTGTTGCTATTTCAACACAACCGGGCTTGGATGATTAAGCGTGCAAACATACATAGCTGTTTTTACCAAACCATAAATCTTCCCTTGTTACTTCTTTAGACTGACATATTTTGGGAAAGCATTCAGTCAATGTTGTCCAGGAATTTCCTTTCATGAGCTTTTTTACGTTTCCTTCTATGTTCACAATTACAAAGTATACAAATGTACATTCTACGGATTGTTTGCTTCTTTCAAGTGTATGACCTTTACCTTCAGTTGATTCTAGTGTAAAAGAAACGCTTAAATTGTAAACAATTCAAAACAACCTTGTTAAAGTTGCTGTTTCAGAATATCACGTAACTCCTCGAGGATATTAAGTTACAATGAGAAAGCTGTCTATCTGGCTTGCAGAAAGTTGTGCTCTTCAACCTTAGGCATGGTGTTTGAAGTGATGCAAAGCCAAAAATTGATATGTAATTTAATACACTACTGTAAAAAAAAAGAATTCTTTTTATCAACATTTTATGCGTGATTTTTTAATGACCATAGACATTTTGTTTTTGTGTGTATCACTATAATTATATTATGTAGAGACTTTGGTTAAGCATTAAAATGCATTTATTTGTATGTAGAAATAATAGACATTTTTTTAACTCATCTATATTTGTATATATTAAAATGTTATGCACATATAATTAATGTCAGGCATTTTCAACGTCATAGTCATTTTATGTATTGCAATTTTACTGTACATTTTTCTCTAAAAATGTTCACTTTTTTAACCTTCATATCAACATTTTAGTGCCTTCCATGTTTGATAAATAAGATTTGTTTATTTCGTTTTGTTTTAATATTTTTGTGGATTAAATGAATATAGAGAAACATGGATTGTTAAAATATAGTTTACATGTTTCCTGTTTTGTGGCATTTATGTAAAAAGTTTATTTTATTTTTCTAGAAAATATTGTTATACAAATCATACTTGTCTGTTTTTGTATGTAAAGGATAATCTGTTGAAAAATTGTTGAATAATTATAACACTTTGATGTTTAAGTACAGAATAGTATACATAGAGGATATTCAAGTTTTTTCTATAAATACATGATTTATTTTCATCGAGTGGTATGAAAATAAATATTTCATGAGTGGCAGTCGCCACGAGTGAAATATGGTAATTTTCATGCCACAAGATGAAAATAAATCATGTATTTATAGAAAAAACTTGAATTTTCTGTTTATTATATACATTTTTCTCTTTTTTTTCGATAAAATTGGAAAGACTTTCCCTTAAATTTTGTGTACTGGCAGAATTTAAAAGAAAGTAGTCCGACAAGACACCAGTGAAAATACGGAAAATATGTTTCACTGCAGTGAAAAATAAATTTTTACAGTGAAAATACGGAAAATGAAAACACGCATTTTATTTTATCAATATTTCTCAATATTTCATTTATTAGTATATAATAAATGTTTATACTTGTGTTAAATATAATTCAGATGAATAAAATCCATGAAGGTAAGGTAATGTAATATTTAGATGTACTTATGATGCGCCTTAACAATTACTACCTAAAATGTGTATATTTGTGTTTTGGAACTGACCTTTGTTCATTCAAGGGGTTTCAGTATCAAAATTACAATGTATGTACATGTACTAAAATTACGCATTCAACAGTATTGAATCTTGCAAACTGTTGGCATTAGTTAATCAGTATTGTTTAAAGGTGTTGCACATTTGAAATACATCAGATTTACAGTCCTTCTGTGACAAAAAGCGTTGCCATTTAATAATCTTTACCATTATATGAGCCAGCCATGACAAAACCAAACATGGTGTGTTTGCGACCAGCATGGATCCAGTCCAGCCTGCGCATCTGCGCATTCTGATCAGAATCCATGCTGTTCGCTATCAGTTTCTCTACTTATTATAGGGTTTGTAAGCGAACAGCATGGATCCTGATCAGACTGCGCGAATTTTTACTTAATTTGAGCAATACATGTACATGTATATTAAGGACATTAAAAAAGTTTTACTATTTTTTGTAACTTGCATAATTTTGATTTGTTTTGTATACTGTACAGTATATTTTCATTATAAAAAGCATTACGGATTATTGTGTACATTTTTAGCTCTTCTGTTTCAACGAAAAAGTCCGAGCTATTATGATTACTGCGTAGTCATTGTCTATGTCGTGGACGTGCAACAACTTTAATGTAGTCCGTTTACTAAATATTTCAACAGGTATCAACACTAAAGTTGGCATACTTGCTTAACATGACAAGATGCAGTTGATCATGACAAGGTCAGTTGTAAAACAAGGCGGTTCATTCTGAAAGCTATACTCCTAGAGTTATGCCCCTTTTAACTAAGATTTTTTGCTTAAAATTGGTTATTTATAGTCAGTGCGCTCAACAGACGAGTATTTAACATGGCATGCAGTGCTTTTATTTGTAATTGTGTTGGGTTGAGTAAAAAAGTCTCTTAGATTCCAAGGATTTTTTTACTTCAGCCTAAGTGTTTGTTCAAAGTTATGACTTTTTGATGACCAGTAATGGTAAGTTATGAAGCAGACTTGACATTTAATGTTGATAAATATTTTTAATCTATGTTGTTAGTGCCATACATGTATACATATTGTTACTGTGTAACAAAAAAAATCATAAATACTGTGCTATTTTTATTTGGATAATTAACTATGCTGAATTAACTATGCATGCATTATTGTGTTAATATTTTTATATTCTGGGAACAATGTAACAAATTTGTGATATGCCAGTGATATAAATATTTTTTGTACTAATTTGTGTACGTTTGACAAGGAAAATGATGAAAATATTATTAAACTTTTAATTTGTAAAACAGTAGCATTTTATTATGCATAACATTTGAGCAACAATGAACTAATTTGATACATGTAATAATTCTTGGCAAATACATCTTTTTTTAAATGTTAGAAATACTGTTTTCATCTAATTGTTTGGCATGTATAGGAAATCTATGAATATGCCTTAGACCTATCGTTTTCTAATAATAAATTTGCAGTTTATACTAAAATCTATAATCCCTTTTATTTTTTACAAAAGAAATATTGCATAGAGAATTGTTCATGTTAATTTTAATTGTGTTATATGAATGTTGCCTGCCGATGTCAATATTTTCCCGCCTTTTTTATATATTATACTGTTGACTTTAATCCTTAAACTGCTGATTTTCTTAAATGGACTTGTCCAGTTTTAGACTTTGAACAGTCCATTTTAAATTGAAGGGATTTCAATATCGAATAACAAGGAAAGAGCTTGACTGTCAAACTAAATACTGGTGGCAAAGGCTAATCGTTTTTGGTCCTAGTAGAGTATATTTGTTACATGCAATAATCAAAATGCTGTTGATTCCCTCCCATTCAGGTGAGAAAACTGCAACAGTTTAAGTTTTAAGTTTTGGTTCTTTTTACAGATTGTGCTTCATATTGTTATTGATTTTTAATCTTGTATAAATTGATGTAAATTTTATTAAATGTCTGATACATTTATCTTTTGTTAAATGGCATTTTGATAAAGTCTATTTACATTTTTATTTTTTCGTTGACATTCAGGAAATGTTTCAATTTTAGATGTAAAGTCATGTCATGAGATTTTTATTGGTGTAAGGTAACATAACGTTTATACCATGTATTCCAAAAGAAGTGTTTACTTGTTGATTTTTTATTGTTTGTTAGATATATATTTTTTATGATACATTTTTTTGCATATTTGTTAGTGGTTACCTAGATTTATAACTTACGTAAGAATGTAAAAAAAATATATAAACTTAAGATTATCTAATGTCAGAATACAAGTCTACCGAAGAATTGGATGATGAAAATGCTTTTGATTATTGAAACAAGATAAAACAATATTAGTCAATAATAGAATAAATTTATCAATATTCTTTTATGGGATATTTTAATGAAATAGATATTAATATCAATTAATTAAAGAATAATCAATCAATATTCTTTATGAGATATTTTAATGAAATAAGATAATAATATTAATCAATAATAGAATAAGTCAATCAATATTCTTTTATGAGATATTTTTATTGAAATAAGATAATTATATCAATCAATAATAAAATACATCAATCAATATTCATTCTTGAAAACTTTAAAAACGTCATTAAATTTGACTCTTTAAGGACACCTGATCCAGTACATTGTCAATCAGGTTTGAGTACAGTGTCATTTTTGTACCATTAGTGGATATTTACACGTATAGCTTTATTGTTGTTGACAAACGATCATTTTTCAATGAACAGACTGAACAATTTTTGTCCAAAGGTGAAAATTTTTCTCGAATTTACGGATATAATATTATTTTGTCTCATTTTGCAAGTCGAATTATCTTACATAAGGAACGGGTAATCCTTTAAGTTCTGCTGTATTTAAGTGATTATTACAACGTCGATTATTACAACTGCATTAAAAATTGTCTCAGTGCCATAGTCTTAGAAAATTTAAAAAAATATATATATTTTTACTGATTTTTTTGCGTACATATAAATGTTTCTGTAGAGCTAGCTAGTATGCACTTGATAATGTTTATTCAGGTTTCTTTTTTAATCACTTTTTTTCTTGTTTACCGCAATTTATATTAGATTTTAGGCGAACTTGTAATTTCTGTTTTGTGATCACGTAGCCATTTTGATGTCATTTTTCAAGAGTTTTTCATATGCTTTAAATAATAGTAAAAATTGTATTCATATTTGCAATTTTTTTTAATCTACATTCTTTTGTTGTCATATAAGTTGAAAATTATCATGTCATATAAAGTGCATATACATACACCTTTAAAGCATGCATAAACAATTGGCTGGTAGTTTGTGAATAAAAATTGACTATGTACACCTTTGTAACGTGCACAAACAATATGAAAATACGCAAATGTTACAGAAAGAACCCACATACACTTTTGAATCGGCAAATAACATAGTTTGGAAATACGTGTTTGCTAAAGAAAGAGTCTACATATATCTTTGAAATGTTCATTAACAAGTAGGAAATACTTCCATGATAAATAGTTGACATGCAGTTTTGAATCGGCAAACAGTACGGAAATACGTGTATGTTTAAGAAAGACCCCACATTCACCTTTAAAATTGGCATTAATACTTTGATTTAACATAAATGATTAACAAAAGGGGTCCACATACACTTTTTAGATGTACATATACAATTGGTTGGCATGTAAATATTTTACTGACTTTTTGCTGATTGCTTTTAGTATATATACACCGTATACTAACCTAGTCAATGGAATTGCATTATACTTCTTGTCTCACAAAATAAGTTACTTTACGTTCCTTCTGTTGTATATAAAATATAGTACATTTCACAAAATATTTATCCAAATGTGTTCTTAATATGTCTTGTATATTTTCTGTAATTAAGGCACTGAAATATTTGGTTTTTTCTTTAAGTTTGATACATCCGGTGCTAGAAGCGGTTGTACTGCTGCAATAATTTTGGTTTTAATACGACATTTGAGTTACGACTTAGATATGTATAACTGTGTGTATAATAAATTTGATAAAAATGTACCAGATTTTTTTTTCGAAAGTGTAAAACATATTTGAATTAAATATTTACATTAGTATTTATCTTAAAGGCTGCCCTTGGATGAGCTCAGAAAAAAAAATACTTAGGAAATTCTTGTTAAGCACTATCATACTAAGACGGTAGCCTATTGAGTGTGTTAGAGAACAGAACTGTTTGAACTATTTATTATTGACTCAAACACACCAGTTGGGATGTAGTGGTATGACTTTTGCTGCATATATGTAATTAAATGGGGCGGTGTATAGGGCACTATTTCCTAATTAACACAAACGTATCTTACTTGATTGTAACTAACATTCATGTATGTGTTTAATGTTAAGTGCTAGTTTTTTTTCTGATCATTAATTTTTTTCATTGATTTACTCTTTCAGTGAATATTCTTTTATTATTTTCTTATTCCTTAGATATTTTTATTTCTTCTGTAAATTATAAATCAGTACCATTTGTTTTTTCTAATTTGTTTATCTAATAAA